TAATTGTCGGCTGGACCACAACTTTATTGTGTCATGTCAGCATCTAACTGGCGGCCGTCCGGACAGCTAGATCACCGTACGTTTTCCCATTTTTAATGTCCTCCCGTCAAAAAGATCCTGGCATCTTCAATGGACTTTTCGGCCATCCATTAAGTGAAACATTAAACACGTCGTCCTGTCGAATTTTAAAAGCAATCTGTTTGTCCAAATTCTCCGCTTGTCGATTGTTAATTGTAGACACTTTGCGTCGTCTATATCTTATACCGTCAATGAACATAACAGTATCACAACCCAGCTACCTGCTGCAGTCATTTAAATAAATCGGGAAGAATGTTGGACCTCAGTCCGAATCATGTCCGAGCACCAACGTTAGCCTTTATCCATTTCAAAATCGAGGTATCGGCAACAACTCTGCGCACTGGAAAGGACGGAAAGCCATTGATCCATTTGAAACTTCTGCTTCAAATTCTTATTTCCAAAGCCAGCTTCCGTTCCAGTAAGGTCTTCCTAAAGTCGACTGTGTAGCCTCTACCGGATATCCCCCTGTCTGCGGCCTTTGTTCTTTTGTCGTGCAGTCAGAGGACACTCATAAAGCAAGTGCTTTCTCGAAAAAGGCCACGCTGAGCATCACACAATGTATCGTTATCTTCCAGCTTGAGACGGCAGCGGAAGAGCTACTCTGCCAGAGCGAGACATTCTAGATGGGTGTCAGTAGAGGAAAACGTTCAAAATATATCGACACAGATATTGTGTTCACCCGGGAGGGGGGAACTGTGTGGAGCCCCCAAGGGTACCCACCAGTGGGCTCTAATTATCATATTTTGTTATCCTTCGAGTATTCTTTGTTGTTCACTTCAAATCAGCTAAAGCGTGGGAAACAGACATCTGAAAGGGCCGTTTCTCCAGCATACAAAAACAAGTCTCATCAATTCATGGACAGCCATATTGCGAGGAATAATCAGCAGATACTGGAGTACGTTCAGCTCGTTGTTCAAAAGAGGCATTGATCTCACTTATCCACTCGGACGAAAAAACAAACAACCATCCGATATGGACGAATTAGTAGCACAAGGCCGCCATTAAAGGAATGGATAGAATGTAAAAACGTTTTCATTTAAACGGAAGCATCAGACACCTGCAAGGTCACAAAACTGAACGGGATGTCTGTGCATACAAAATTAATAGGGCTTAAAGAACTACAAGCCAAGCAGGCTGCAGAAAACGCAGGGAAACCCTTAGACCCTGTGCTACTACATATCCAATAACAGAATAAATTAGGACGCGATTCCGGCACTGGGTCCCCAAAACGGGAAAAGTGTGAATGGACGACCAAAACGAAAGCACCGACTTTCCGTGGTTTTCTTCAATCGACATTCACTATTGATGGTAGTTTTCAACCGCTCACCGTTCAGAACAATGGCACGATTCTGTGTCGTGCTTACAAGAAGATAGTCTTCTATTCTCGCTTGCATCAATATGGGCGGACTTACTCCAACTGAAGCCTGCGAAGTCGCAGTCACCCATGCCTCAGGAGTGGTCTTTACTTTCAGGAAGAATGAGCAAAAGCAACAGGCCAGGATTGGCCAGTCGATGTCCTCTTCTTCGGTTTCAAAAAAAGCGTTTGATAGCGTGCCTCGTCGTCAGTTCCTTCAAAAGCTTTACAGTATGGAGTCCAGGACAACGTTTTAGTCGATTTAATTTTCCTTGTCATTCAGGCTGCAAAGTGTGATTGTTGGCACCGCAGTATCTGTATGTATGCTAGTAGAAAACTTTATTCTACTGGGCTCCATATTAGGTCCGCTTCTCTTCCACATCGATATAAACTATCAAAATAATAAGCTTGATTGTGGTTTCCACATGTTTGCAGACTACTTAGATGACGAGGCACAGAAACTACAAAAACTTTAATATACTGGCTGGGTAGGTCGCCAGATACCCTCTAACGTTTAATCGGACAAGACTACATTTACCTGACCTCGACTATAGCTCGCTGTTTGCGCTTAATGCCAACGAAGATTTAGAGCTGTTCAGGAATGTTCTTTTGCAGCTCCTCAACAACGCTTCCCACTGACGATCGTAAAGCAGAACAGGAGGTATGAATAGCTGAATAGTAATCTAAAGCAAGATACCAACACGATGGACAAATTTGCAAAAGAATTCTGTGTCACTAGGCCATTCGAATATTCAAACGACTACAAAGCGAAGAGGAAAAAATTGCGTCGGGAATCCGGAAATATTCTGTTGTAAAATCAACGCGAACTTCCAAATTACTTTACAGCTGCCTCAGAAAAAGTGCAAGAAAGAGATGTCAAAGCCCTTTAATAAAGACAACCGAGGGCATCAAAATTGCTGAAGATGGAGATGAGGCCGAGCTTTTTTAAAATCATCTGCGCGGACGAAGCGAGATTCCCTCCTCCCCAGAGGACCCGCCGATTCCAAACCTATGCTACATCCTCTGTTTATGAGATCTTATTAGATCACAATTAAAGATATTCATGGGATTAATGTCTACAGGACCAACAGAGATCGCAGTCAAGCTTCTCAGCGAACCTGTCAGGGAAATTTCTGTAAGTCTGTCAGTGCCCTTTCGAAGTTCTTACGCTGTAACGCCTCCTTTCGGCTGGTGGATGGCCAAATTACGACTCCATACAAAAGCGATAACCGGGCGATAATGAAAAATTAGATTTTCATTAGCCTGACATACATTTTCGGCAAAGAATTAAGAGGATCATAAAGTGCGAATCCTACATGTCCATAGCCTGCTGCAAGACTGTCAGCACAGGTTCTGGAGAGGAATTTCCAGAACGGCTAATTTGCCGTACTCTCTTCAGAGCTGGGCCCCAGATGCTGAGGATAAGTACGTGGTCCACACCGTCTTCACTGACTTTCGGAATGTCTTCGATATTCTGCCATAACAAGGGCTGTTGTGGAAGCCGGAAACAATCGTAGAAAGTCAAAATCGCAAGAAGGGCTATATCTATTAGGTCATAGTAAATAGTCGACCACTACTCCTATAATTTCACATTAACAAGAGCAATATGATACATGATTCAATAGTATTTTGACGGATTTGATTGT